TTACATACAATGTCATAGGTTTTAAAGACTAAAGATAGTTTAAAAACGGTTACATATTGCAATTCATTATTGTTATAGATACAAACACTTGAATAATTGTATTGATAATTAATGAATACACTAAAATCTAAACGGGCATATATGGTAGTTACGCCCTATTTAGCTAAGTCCGAGTAACAATTTAAAAGAGCGAAACTGCTAGTTACGTCTTTTTAGAATTATTGACCGATGCACAAAAATGTAAATATTAAAAGGACATAAAACGGATTTTGTGAATTTTATTAAGGTGATGGGTTATTTTGAATAAGTCGACATTAGTTGTTCTATGTGTGTCCCAAATTTTACCATGATTGAAAAAGTATCAAAGTCTGCAGACAGTTTTTTTCAATTTCCCGAAACTTGCAAAAATGCATTTACGCCCTTATAGCACTAGACCGTCGGTTTATCTATTGCACAGAATGATTGTTTTTACAAAGTGTACCAGTATCCGGATGTTGAAAGCTATCCGATTTTTTGCAATTACTGCTGTCACATGGCCATCTAACTTTTTATGAATACTTTACCATGAATTTGCATGGCTTAATAAAACTGACCTGCAACATTTCATAATTTTGCTGTTTAGGGTGTTCTTTTTGGGTTTCAGGTTTTCTCTATTTTAAGGCTAAGCTACTCATGTTTACTAAATTATTTGTTCTTTTCTGTCTATCTTGGGTATAATTTACTATTTTTGTTGTATAAAATTTACCAGTTGTAAGGTCATCAAAAGGAATAAAGGTCCTGAGGAGTGAAATATTGATAGATCTTTTTTACTGGCTTTATATACCTTAGACTGGATTTTTCTAGTTTGTTCAGTTAGTACATACCTACAGGTATTCTGCTACAGGAATATTCTAATCACTATGAAACTAATTATTATTTTCTATGTGTTTATATATAAATTGTTAATAAGATAACCTTTGGTAAAAATGAAAGTTAGAACAAAATTAAAGCTATGCATATAGGTGCTCATGTCCATATATTGAAACAGAGAAAGGATAACATCCTGATGTTATCAATTTTAAACACTTGATAAACAATGTATATGCAGTTAGTTATATAGTAAAGACTAATGGAACAGTACTTATTTGTTACTGTAAGAGATATGCATTTAATGTTTAGACACTCACACAACTCAATCTTTATTATATTGTATATAGACTATTTGAGTTTTTTTTTTTACTTTTATACTATACATTAAAGTTTTCTTTCTACAAGATTATGAATTACATCCAAGTACCAATGCTAGTAGGATGTTATATTTATTTTTAATGGAAACTGGGAATTATTAATGTTCTGTGCATATATGTATATCTTAGTATATGAATATAATGTGACTTAAAATATTTCTGTATTTAAAGACTTACAGTTATAATGGATGAGACTTGCATTTAAATTTATATAAAATGATAATACAGGTATTGATTGGTCTACAGGTTATAGGTATTTATACCCAGTGTTCGCTGGCTAATAGTATCTTTAATAGAGTTTATACATTAAAGTTTTCTTTCTACTTGATTTTGAATTCCATCCATTAGTACAAATGTCAATGTAAATGTTAGGATTTCATTTTTATTCAATAGAAACTGGGAATTGTTAATGTTATGTGCATACATTTATATCTTAGTATATGGATATGATGAGACTTATAATATTTCTGTATTTAAAGAGTTACAGTTATCATGACATTATTTTGAAAGTGATGGAGGACTTTCATTTAAAGTTATAAATGATAATACATGTAGGTTAAAGGTTTATACCCAGTGTTAGCTGGCAAATAATAATATCTATAATATAGTTAAAGGCATCTTAGTCTAGATGCTGTGGTTTATATTCTGAACTTGTGAAATTTGGCAGGTTACACAATGACCTATCCAGAATTGAGGTTAAATTAGTGTCCATTACTAGTGATGGCAGGGTCCATTGGTGCAATTCTATCGGACAGTTGCATGGCAATATAGATATTTATTCCACACTCTCTGTGCTAGTAGGTCAGTACTGTCCTTTCAGAGAAGACTTGGATCAAGCAATATAATTTATAAAGTCTCAAAACATCATTTTCTGAATTCTTATTCTATTTTTTCTAACATGTGCTTAGTTTGAAAAGGACAGCTTCTGTCTTGTCAATTTGTAATGGAGGGACACCGGTCTCAACCTCCAGGTCTCCAGAGTCAACCCAACTACAGACTTTTCATAGAGTAGATTGTTACTTGCACTTAAATAAATTTGTGCACTAAATTTTATAATGGGTGATTTGTGCCACATGAAAACCGACAAAGTACAAAAAGTAACTGGGCGCCAGATGAAAAACTACCAAAAAGTGGTTCGTTTGTTGTATTTTCATGTTTTCGCCTGGTGCCCCAGATGCAAAATACAAATCAGCCTCCCAAAAAATTCTTATCAAAGAAAAAGGGTTAATTTTTATCTGTACAAAAAATAAGATATTGTACATTTATTAGTACAGATGTTCACTTTCAAATTGACCTGTTATAAATAATGGCACAACCAATAAATGTATTAACCCTTTTATAGTAATACAAATATATAAATTGTTATTTTGATTAAGACTATGAGTATGTAAGTTTTTTTCTTATTTGTTTAATTAAGAATTAATATACCTGTTAATAAAAACATCTTAAAGTATCTGTACGGGAGAAAATGTGAAAGCAACCAGACAGCTCAATCGCTACAGCCGCGGTACATTATTCTTTGGGTCACAGATTCGAGTTCAGGTCAAGCGGAAAGTTTTTCTCACCCTGTGACTGCATATAACCCTGAGTTTAATTCACTATGCTCTGTAAACATCAGAAATTCAAGGACACAAATCAATATAGTGGGGAAATATGTTGTGGTTTAGAACTGCTCAGTTGATCGTCTGACAGTCATGGGTTCAAGTCATGGTCAAGCAGTTTCTGTCAGGGTTTCGAAGTGGTTTTTCAACTGGCACATGTTTGATTCATTTAACAGATTGTATTAAAGTTGAAATGGACAAAGGCAGTATTGTATGCATGATACTTTTAGATCTACAAAAGGCATTTGATACAGTTGATCACACTATACTGCACATGAAGAAGTTCTTCTGCCATAGATAATGGCATTCTTACATTGTTCAAGTCTTATTTCTGATTGACAGCAGCTGGTGGATGTGGCTGGTGCTCATTCTACTACTGCTCCGAGTACCTATGGTGTTCCCCTAAGATTCATTTTAGGTCCTCTTTCATGTCTAATATAATTATACCAATGACCCTAAGAAATAAGCTTTAATTATATGCTGATGACTCAGGTATCCTTGCATCTGGTAAAATAAATCTGAAGAAATTCTCTCTTATAGCATGAGTCTTATTAGTGATTTGTTAATTGACTAAAAATTGTCTTTGCATCTTGACAAGACAGGGTCTATTCCTTTTGGTTTAAGTTTCAACTTAATCTGGGCCTAGCCTCCAGGTCACATGTAATGGTACTGCTGTAAAGTACACATCTTTTGTTAAGTATTTAGGTGCAAAACTTGATCAATTTTTTTTGGCGTCGCCTTTGATGCTTTGCATCAACGTTTTTCTTGTTATAAATTGCGGCAATACATACGCGGGAAATAATAACTCTTAAGGCGCCGTGTATATATGCTGTTCCATTAGGGCCATCGCCTATAAAAAAGTAAACCTCGAACGTGAAAACACAAAAATTCGAGGACGAAAACTTCCGTTTTGTTTTCATCTTCGTACTTTGGGGTTTTCGTCCTCATACTTTCGCGTTTTCGCTCTCGTATTTTCGTGTTTTTGTGTTCCAGGTTTACTTTTTACTAACGGATCACGGTAGCTCGCGAATGTAATTGGGAAATATTGCATTGTTTATAGTAAGAATACACATGTAAGTTTTTAATTCAAATAACAGTGTATTTTTTGCTGTTTTTATATTATCATTACTTCCTTAATATTCAGATATCTTACTGTACATGAAATGAAAAATGTGAGTTTTGATTGATATAAGTTCATAATTCAGAATGGAATAAACTATGGGGGTGTTATACATTATTCAGTACAATATCGGATTACAATGTATATTGGACGAGTACTCGATCATTTGTACCTTCATTTCATGAAGCGCATCCGTGTACGAGTCCAATAGAATCAGTATTGTTCTCAACTATTTAAATGACTTCATACCACTAGTTTTTGTGTGTACTGCCTCCTTAGTATGGCGATTTGGTGATTTTTTAACACATAGGTACCTTCAAGGCACGACATATGCTTTTATTTGCCTTAATCGTAAAGTATGTAATATTTACATAAAAGTAAGAAATATTACATATATACCTAACGATTAACGCAAATAAAAGCATATGTTGTGCCTTGAGGGTACCTATGTGTTAAAAAAATCACCAAATCGCCATACTAAGGAGGCAGTACACAGTCCAGTTTCGGTCGTTTAGTTTCGAATTGGCCAGGGTCAAATATACAAATAAGAGACAATTTTGAAATTAAAGTGGATATATAAGCTTCTTAATATTTAAAGGTACTTTATTTCAAGTTTCAGTGGCTAGTATTGTATTTCAGTTATTAAGTAAAATTGATTTTAGTGGTGTTTGACCCATATTATTTGAGGGAGTACCTGGATGATCCACAGAGCTAGCTAGCTCAGAAATCAGCTCTTCAATTTAAAGGGTATGCAGAAGACTTAAAATCGTGAAAAAAGGACAGCTGTGCCTCCTCGTTTGAATTTTATTTTCAGATTGTACATTGTTTAGTAAAGAAGAAACAATGAAGCTTGTGATTTTATCTTTTGGTGTTGATATATTTTTCATAGTTTTCAAATAGGTGTAATTTGCTATTTTTTCTCCATTAATTTTAGTGACAAAACAATGAAAAACACAAGGCTATGTGCCAGAAATCTAGTATGTGGACATGTATTTTAATTGTTTTCTGTGAGATAGATATGTATATGTTAATTATGAAATGCATTTATTTCAGGTGTGTGATTACAGACTTGTGTGTTAGGTTTTCATTGTGACGCAGTCAGATGTTTGCCGAGAAGCCTTGAAAGCTGCGCATTGTCCCTTTATGACTAATGTATGAATGACCTTTACACAATCACATTTTCGCACAATCTGACATACCTATAACGAATATACATTCAGGTTTGACTAAGCGATTCAGACTAATCTTTGTGGAAGTGAAATCAAAGGTGAAAGTCAACGCAAAGCTCCCAAATAAAAACTCGTGATAACTTTCACTAATGTTAAACATGTTTTAGTTGTCTTCCTATTGTTACAAATATTCATAAAGTGACAAATGATATAGATTGGACAATTCTGTTTTCATTCTATCTTTTATATGAAAAAAGCACAGTGTCGGTATCAAATAATGGCTCTTTAGACCGGTAAATTAAATAACTCTCTTCAAATATGTGACTTCCATCATCATGTGACGTCTGTGAAGGCAGTGATTACAATTCTGCCAAGGGAGGTAATCAGTGTGAGGAGTTTGATGCCCTCACAGACGTCACATAATGATGAAAGTCACATGACGTAACGTCGAAATTCAAATGTAAATATCGACCGTTACATAGAAAATCTAACGTCATTTTTCTCCTTCTGTTTTATTTTTAACTTTTTGCACCTACGTCAAACCATTACCAAAAATATACAAAATAATGAAAAATAAATTAGAAAGCTAAAAAAATAAATATCAAAATATTGATATTTCAATGTTTGGCAGATATCTGTACTGATAAGGGGAGATCACTGCGTAGGAGATTGGAGGATTGGAGCACCACACTAAATAGCGTATTCCGGTATAAACCGGACAAGGCGTTTGAATGCTAAAATCCTGCCTTTAAACCCAACGGAATGAACTTTAACAGATCTAATTAATCTTGTCACATCGATTTATGTAAGATAATGAATGAAAAATGTAAAAATTGGCGAAAAAAACGATCATAGATCCTCTATTTGTCTATTTTATTATCATGATTTCTGCAAGCGTCCAGAGGTACTGCTCCAATCCTGTATTGAGGGGGCAGGGGACCTAAAAATGAACAATTTTGTATTTCAGTGTGACCTAAAACACAATTCCAAATATTTCAAAATCTGTTTCACAGGCAGATAACCAGTTGCACAGCATTATTCAATGATATATGACATACATTGAAGAAAATAATAGTTTGCATGCATTGCTCCTTCAAAAAATGACTGACAGCAATTTATTTTTACCCCCACCCAGCCAAAATCACACCTAAAATATACCAATATGGGCAATCTTCATGAAGGTGCAGCATACTCCAGAATCCGCCCGATTCCTTTAAAAATATCAGTTACACGCAGTGCAAGCTATGGCATTTTCAGAAATGACCAATAAAGTGTCTGTCATACGTTTAGATTTTTCACAAAATTTATCTGAAATTTCTTACTCGTTTGGCGCCAACTGTCAAAGCTTGATTTTTTAACTTTTTCACCTCCATTCGAGAGTCAGAAATACATACAAAGCTACCAAAATGCTTAGTTTCGGGTAAAAACCCAAAAATACTTCTCATTTCCTACACACAAACAAGAAAGAATTACAATGACAGAGAAATATCAGAAGTTATCAGTACCTTCAAAACACCATGTCTGAGTTATTAAAAAATTTGACCGGGGCCATCATTCGAATATGTCCCCTGCCCCCTTGAGTTAAATCCAATTTACATGAAGTATTTGCTTTCGTACCTAACGAATATAAACAAGAGAAAAGGAGTACACTGTTGAAGACACTTTTTATAATTAACTTCAAGCTTTGTGGTGAAGTCATATTTGTTTTAAATACTAATGAGAATATTTGTCATTAATGTTTTTTGGTAAATATTCTTTATTTGACAATTAAAATTTGCTTATATCTCGGAATTTACACTGCGCAATGTTTGATGTCATCAAACCGTAGGTGCATCGTCACAGCGCATGTTGTTTACAAAGGGGGAATTTAATATGTATATAACCTGTCTTTCTCGGTTATATTACTGCGCAATTGTACTAGGTGCCATATAAAATTCTAATGTAGAAATAATTTAAAAAGATGAGTTTGAATATATATATAGAGAAAACTAGTTAGAAATGCTTAATAATAAAAAGTTGATGTTTAACAAAATTTTGATCAGTGCCTCTTTATTTTTCACAAAATTTTTTTACAGTAAAATTTTTATTTCAAACCCCTTGTTTTTTTGTAACTATTATCTTTATGATTATAAAAAACCTTTTCAAAAAATTTTTTTATTAATTAATTTAAATATATTTAATTTTTTAAAAAATTCAATTTTTTTCAACATTTTTAACTTAAAATTTTACACGTTTTTAAAATCCCTTTTAAAGAATAATGCAGTATTTTAATGCTTTTGCATTTTTACCCCAGAAAACCTTTAAATTTCCAATTTGAAATTAAAAGGTTAATGGGGGAAATAACATCGACCTTATAAAAACATACCAAAGAAATAAAGGCCAAAAATTTCAACTGCTATTTTTTTTTATCTCTTTGTTCCCAAAAATAAAATATTTTTTTTCCCCAATTTTTGCGTTACAGCCATTTTAAAGCTTTCTAAAAAAAGGGCAAATTAAGTGCATTTAAACGCCCGCAAACCAGGTTTTTAAAAACCAAAAACCCCATGGGAGCTTTTTCCCCCCAAAATTCCTTTCCTTTCCCCAAAAACTCATCACCATTAAATTTTTAGCCACAGTTGTAACACCCCCCTTTCCAACCTTTTTAACCACCCATGCTCCCCGATAGTCGCCTTTTTCTTCAGAGAATCACCCCGTTTACCACTTTCCCCCGACTTTGATTGAAAAAGTATACCCACACAGGGAGCAAACACCCAGGGAATGGAGGGAACCCTTTTGCCATGTTCATTTACCTTTTCAAAAAACAACTTTTGTAAAAAGGGGAACAGACCTACCTTTGAGCTCAAAACTTTCTTGATTTTTCATCCGCGCTGCTATATTCTGTATAAAAATAACAGGTTTAATCATTTACTTTGTGAAGAGTTAAGAGTTAGATTAATCAAAAAATAAAGCCGTTTAAATTAACGTCTCTTATAATTGTGCAGTTTTCTTTGAATAGTAACTGAATACGATAATTGATGATTTAATTGATTTTAAAACCTTTGTTACTTGCATCGTTTAGATTATTTAAATGATGATTTTTAATAATTTTCCTACGTTTTCAAACAAAGTATAATGTTATTTTTTGCAACGATAAAAAACTTACCCTTAGGTTAGTCTTAAGGTTTTTAACTTCTTCCTCAAGTTCGACCAACTTTTTCAAGATGGTGTAATCTTCACCACATCTACTGTGAATTGGTTCTTCAAGTGAAGAAACATGAATTAAACATCCAAATAAGACAAGTGTCCCCCAGTAAAACATCTTGAACTGTACAAAATGTAATATCATGTATCAACTGAAGTTACTTGTAAGCAAATTGTCTTCCGACTAAAACAGTCCTGTGGATATTTCACAAGTCATGTTATGTATATCCGAAAAAGTTTAAAGAAGGTGACAATGACTTTGCAATTTGCCACTATATCTCCCTTTTAAATCTGTTAATTATTTTCCTCCTTTTAACAATGTGTTGTGTTCTTTTTCAATATACAAGACAAAAAAAATAACAATTAGTTAATTGACACTACAAAAGATCTCCTTTTGTTGATTAAACAAACAAAGTCGTTAGATGAGATGTTTTAGAATGTAAACAATAAGCCACAGTGTTCCAAACCCATAAACAAAATATTTAGGCCGCTCAAAATATAATATTTATTTCTTTGACTAAGTTAGACCTATTTTATCTCTCTAAACTTTATTCTGTAGAATTCTTTTTTTAGTTTTTATATTGAATTATATATTTATGATATGTCGTATGATATTTATTTAGCCCGTTGAAGTATGTTGTATTAAAATTGTGGCAATACATATGCGAAAAATCATATATATAATTAAAGGCGCTCTCTACGGTGTTCCGTTTGGGACCTCGCCTATAAATAAACTAAACCTCGAATGAGAAAACACAAAACTACGAGGATGACAACTTTCGTTGTTTCGTGTTTCCGCGTTTTCGTCTTCGTACATCTGAGATTTAGACAGATCTTTGTTTCTTTTATTACAATAAGGATTTGATATGGATGCTGACTCTCAGAAATGAAAGCAAAGTTATGTGGGGATTAGTATTGATATGAACTTTTTGGACTCTGAAAATGTAAACACGAGGCTATATGGGGTGTGATGTGAATTTGAAATAGATTTTTTGGACTCTGGAAATGAAAATTAGGCTAAATACCCACGGAATGATATACTAAATGAAAAGATAGATATAATATTTTGAAAATTCCCATTTTCTTCACACAGAGCAGGCCTATGTTTTTTTATAGTTAATGTTATAATGCTTATAAGCCTCGCTGAACTTTGACTAAAATATATCGGATGAATTTTTAAGATTAAAATTGAGGAAAAATTGTTAAATACAATTATTCTCTGATACTGACATAATGCACAGCCAGACTTCTAAAATTATTATTTTAGGGACCAAAATGATCGGGTATTTATAAACTTTAGGTATGGTTTTGATGCTATAGATATTTATAACACTGAACATTTAATCTGTTGTGTTTCTTTTATGGTCATACAGATCGTTTTAAAAGCTGTATTTTCCTAGATTATATTTCATGTTTAGGTATGTTGAAAAAAAATAGAGATATATGGCTGTGTTTTGTTTTTCTAATGGTAAATACGTTTTAAAGCAATATTTTCCTTGATTATATCTCATGTCATCCTAGGTAAGCCAGGCTTTTTACCGTATACATGTATTGAATGCAGAATATTTGGAATGTGTACTGTGGGTTCCGACCATGATCTAATTGAAAAAGATAAAAAAAGAAAGAAGAAAAAGTTTACCATGTTGATAACAACAAGAGGTATCTGGCTAAATTTCGTTTTCCTAATGGTAAATAACTTTTAAATAATTAAACAAAAGCAATCTTCACGTCAGACTTCATGCAAATACGACACTTTAGCCCAAGGGACTGTTATTGGCCTATACTTAAAATAAGCCAAGGTACGATCCTGGAGACAATTTTGAAATTGAAGTGGATATTTGAGCTTTTTAATATTCAAAGTTGCTATATTTCAAGTGTCAGCGGCTAGTATTGTGTCTCAGTTATTAAGTAAAATTGATTTAGTGGTGTTTGACCCATATTATTTGAGGGAATACCTGACAGAGTCGAATGGATGATCCGCTCGGAAAGCAGTTCTTCAATTTAAAAAGGTTTTGCAGAAGACTTAAAATCGTGAAAAAAAGAGCTGTGCCTTCCTTTTTGGATTTTATTTTCAGATTGTGCATTGTTTAAGAAAGAAGAAACAATAAAGCTTGTGATTTGTTTGATGATAATATTCAAATAGGTGTATTTTTTTTTTGTCATAAATTTTCGTGACAAAACAATGAAAAACACAAGGCTTTGTGCCAGAAAACTAGAAGGCTGACATGTATTTTTAACTGTTTCCTGTGAGATACATATGTATGTGTTAATTATGAATTGCATTTATTTCAGGTGTGTTATTACAGACTTGTGTGTTAGGTTTTCATTGTGACTCAGTCATATTGCCCCTTTATAAC